CCAAATGACTTGTGACTTGACTTGTGACTGGACCTAATGACTTGTGACTTGACTTGGACTGGCATATAATTACTTGTGACTTGACTTGGACTGGCATATAATTACTTGTGACTTGACTTGGACTGGCTTATGATGACTTGTGACTTGACTTGGACTTGCACTGAAAAAATGACTTGCTGCCACCTCTGCTGTTTAGACTAGATCACAGACCCTGCACCACACAAGAACTAATCACATGAGGTGTGCACACTTTGAGTTGTTCCATAGAGTTACATGAGTTTTGAGTACACAAGTGAAAAAGCAGTATCCAGGAAAATGTAGTGCTTTATGAAAGAATACGCCTATATTAGGAACAAGGAATTACTCTATATGTACATGTCTAACAAACTAATTTAGTTCTTCATGTGTTTGTAATTTTGAGTGTTATTTATAATACAAAATATTTAAAGAAAAAAGTACAAGGCATTACCTTGTGGATTTTTAACACAGTTATAAACACACAATGATTAAAATTTCATATGATTTAAATGTTAATTATTATTTATAAAACAAAGTTTCATTGTGGCTTTCATTTACTAAGAAAATGTGGATCATAAACTTGATCATAAACATAAATATGCGGGTGAAATCATAAAGGGTTTTCAGCAGTTCTTATAAAAAATGGCTGGTTTTGCGTTCATCTTAAAGCATTTAATTGATGAATGCATTCAATTCAAACATGAATGAACTTCATTCTGACAGTTATTTTATTCTGATAGTCATTTCTTTGTATGTGTTGGCAAATCTCATAAATCCATGTGGCTGATCATCATTGTGAGTAATCTGATTTTATTTAGTCTTTTTAATGACATCTAACATCCTCACCATAATAACATTCCTTAAAATCAACCATCACTGACTTTAAAAGAAGTTTTAAAAATCGAAATTTGTATTGCTTTTTTCTTTCCTTTTTTTTGGAGTGTTCATTTTTACTTGCCACTGTTTAAAACTTCATAAATTAAGAATTCACCTTGATTACCTTTAACTATTTTCTGGTCAACAGTGAGTTCTGTTTTGCTGAATATTGAAATTTGCCTGTGGAATGTGCTACATTAGCAAATACTGTTTATTGTTTTAAAAGACAGGAACACAGCATTGCAAGCTAGAATAAACATGCAGCACTGCCATATGGCATCCATCCAAATACCTGGAATATTATGTGCAATGCATGTAGTACTATGTTATCTCTCGAGATGAAATGGTGTCATGTGATGGTGATGTTGTCATGTGTAGCAACCAAGCTCTCCGCTATTGGCTTTATGGTATAATGTAAGTGTCGTGTGATATATGCCCAACAAGACCAAAATGTTGCTCAACTTGTTAGAAATGTGTAACTGAGACCGCATGTCACACTTGGAAAATAACACATCGATTGGGGTGAAAATTCCCTGCGATTGAGAAAATAGTTACCAAAACTGATAAACTGTATGGTGTAACAAGCCGGCTGGTAGATGGACGTTGATGTGTGATGACAGAGAACTGTAGGGTTCAGACATCTGGAGACTGTGACATCGCACTTCAAGGTTGTGATCTTGGGATTTAATCTACCGAGATTAGTTGCTAATGCTGGCTATGCATCAAGTGTGACTGGCTTTGGGGTTTAAACTTCTGAGAAAGATATCTTGGCCATTTCTTTGCCGTTAAGGAAAGGTCATATTGCAAGAACTGTACTGCTGTGGAAAGATCAGTGTGTGAAATATGCACCTAGCTTATATTGCAGGTGTATTTATACAGCGCAGTTGCTTGTAAAGATTAACAGTACAGTGTGGATGCTGGCCTGATTACTGGGGAACAGAGTTTTCAGTAACAGACAGCTGCACTTTGGAAAGAGTTAAGAAGTTCTGTGCACATTTGGAGACTGCATCAAGTGCACATCATGTCAACAACTTCAATATTTCCCTTGAGGGAGTATTACTGTAAGTCAGGATATTACCTCAAGATCAATGCAGATGGGGAGGTGGGCGGAGCTGAGAAATCAGGAGACAAGAATGGTAAGACATCATAACAGCCACTGTTTCATTATGGCTCTGTTACAGTAGCGTATGCAGCTTTTGGCGTGGGGGGGGCAATTTAAAAGTAAATGCAGCTTCAGGCTCATTCAACATGATGTCTTGTCGGGGGAGAAAAAATCAAATGGTGTTGTTTTATTGGGGTTTTGGTACTACTGTAAGATAAATAAATACACTGATTAGTTTCTTTCCTTCTCACCTAGGAAAGTATTATTTGTAAAAAAAAATCCGTCCGGGGGCCAAATTGCCCCCCCTCCACTGGATATGCCACTGCTCTGTTATCTTCACCGTGTTTGTCACTTCCAAGGGGTGGAGCTGCATGTAGCCAAATTGTTTGGCTACTCTCTGGGTTTGCTATACATGTACTTGGCTAATTTAAGCATTTAGCACTCTCTATAATTGCTTATGCACTGTTCTTGATATGAAACATAAGGTGTATTTTATTTTCAGCTGTGTTTGAGGTTAGCACAGTGACATGTGGTGTCATTACGATGAAAGCGGTCAACTCGGGAATGTATCTTGCAGTTGACAATAACGGGAAAACACATGGAAAGGTATGAAAAAAGTTCTTCAAATATTACACTGTTTATGAACAACTAATAGCAAGACTAAATCTACTGCAGTGCTTTAGACCATGTATGCTGCAACAAATGAACAAACCCATGGGGGCTGATGTGTCATAAAGGTGGCCAGAAAGCATAAACTTGACGAGCATTGATACATTTTCCTGTCATTAAGTTTCTGTAATTAAATCTAAAGGAATGAAGAGAATGGCTTAATAACAAGCCTAGTCCAGCTTGCCATGTTGAATCATCTTGAGTTGACAATCAATCTGTCATGAGTAACTGCACTACCTACTACATACATTCACTCAATACAGGAATAGCTTGGTGATGATTTACACATATCAACACTGAAAAATATCATAGTTTGAAACAGATATTCAAATGTTTTGAGGGAATTGTATATGTGGTGGGTCAGTTTTATGGTTTGTCATGATGTGTGAACGAGCAATAAAAACTGATGTCATTATTTGCTTGTACACTGAATGCAATAAATCGGAAAAGCAAATGAGGAAACAAAATATCCTGTTAGTTGTAAACTGGTCCTTTTGGAACATGATGCAGAGAGGCATGTTTGCAGGAGAACCATGGTTTGAGGAAGCGGTGTTTACTCTACGAAGAGCCAATGGTGAGAGAAGGTCTCAATGTTTTAGACAGTGTGCTCTGTCTTCAGGAATGTGATCTATTCAGGGTGGGGCCAAGCAATGTGAAGAGCACGTTCTTATGCACTGTATCTCAGCAAATAAATCGCAACATATTATGTTCCAGGCAATCCAAAATGGATACAACCTTAGCAGTATTCCAAATTTTTTAAAGCTGCCAAGTTTTGAAAAACTGTAAGGAAGGAAAAAATGATAAGGCTGTGAATAAGAATTAATTCAGTGTATTTAGTGTGCTCATTGATTGGTGTAAGGGTTTTCTCACCCAAACAGGCCCAACTGGATGCATCTTGTGAGTTTGTGGAGAAGTTTGACCCATCCGGCTGCTACACAGTCTTCCAACCCCGCCGCTTTGCTGCCGAGGGCTGGCATGTTGCACTGGGGCGACAAGGCCAGGCCAGACCAGCTCACAAGATTGAGGATGACCAGAAGTGTGCTTGGTTCATACCCCAAGCAGTAGGAGGGCAGGATGGGGATGGGCAGCAGTCTGATGATGAGGGTGCTGTGAGGCCTGGAGTGGACATCGATGTGGACCAACTGGAACGACTGGGATTCACACCTGCAACTGGTCTTAGATCCTAAACTGTTACTGTGGCAAATTTATGCACCAGAAAAGTTTTGATCATGGGTGTCTGAGTATAATGATACCTCAAGGTAGGAGAGCCAATTCTGTTGAATTTCTTCACCCAATACCCAACTAGAATCCATAAAACTAGTGGAAGCACTCTTCATTAGACAGAAAATGGCTATTTAAAAGAGCTATAGCGCGCCAACATTCAGTTCCTTCCATGAGTGTCATGAAGTGTTTGGTGCTGCCTTATTTCTACAACATATAATTACATTCTAAAATTAGGATTAGAGAGTCCGAGGATAGACACACAGCAGCTGTTACGAGAACATTGAATTATTGTCAATGAAATTACTAACAGTACAGGACAGGTACATCAACCTCAAAGTTCATGGCATTAGATAGAGAAAAATATGTCCATTATGGGTAGGTGGTACAATGGAAGAAATTGGGTAGAACGGCTTTTGGTAAAATCGCCCTAATTCTCTCTGACTGGAAACTTACCACAGCAATGGGGTAGAACAAGTTAAGCCTGGTTTCCATATCAACACAAGAAATGAAGAGAACAACGCAATCAAGACGCAAACTGCAACGCAGACATATGGAAACATGTCAAATGAAGTATTGTCGATAACTCGGACATAACGCCAACCAGCCTCAGACTGATCAGCAAAGTTGAGCCCAGTTCAGCTTTGCCGGGTGTCTGTGTTGAGTCAGTGAGTAGGCCTATACAAACACACATGCTGACATGGACGAGTGTACAATGCTTCTCTCGCTTAGTACCACTTATTTTGTCCATTTTCTCCTTATCACCAGCATATGCAGCCCCAATCGTCAACAAAATAGCTGACCATTAACAAATAACATCAAACTGGAGTATCACTTTGGCTTAAAGAGGCAACATTGCCACCTAAAAAAGGCATTTTTTGCAAAAATTTTAAGAGTTTCGGATGCCATTTTGTTTACTTTTTTGGGTGGAATGACATTGCGCAGCATCTCTTCTGCGGCTGTCTGCATCTTGACGTCTTGCGGACCGTCTGCATTAAAATCAACAATATGAAAGCCGCGCTTTACCTAGTCCTGCACTAAAGATTGGGGGGACATCTTTTTAAGGGGAGTGGCTTGTCGGGGGAAGTCACTGACAGATTTGGAGATGTGGGGAAGATGGGGCAAGGAAGAGTTTGACATGGGTGAAACGTGAAAAACGTAACATGTGTATGTGGAATTTAAGGACACAATGAGTCATAAATAAATCACATCTGGTTAGAAGAACACTCTTCACTTTCAAAAATGAATCTTTATTAAAATATCTGCAAATCTATACAGTGTTCAGGTGAAGGAAATGTACAGGCCCATCAGGAACACTAATGATGTCGCATTATTGTACAAAATCCCACCCCCCAAAAAAACCCTTTTCAGGAGCACATTTCGAATCTTCCCTCGTGGTTGGATGGTTTCTAAGAATTCAGTTTACTGTTAAAAACTGCACTACATAATTAATAAACGTCTGATTGATTTACAGCAAACACTGTCCCAGTAATTCAAATTCACAAATTGGAGAAAAGAAAATCATCTATAAAACACTAGAATTATAAGGCCAAAGGTTTCAACAGCAAGGGAATTTTTTTCTATGTGTGATAACACTGCAGCCACATTTGTTTAGTTCCCTGAATGCATCACACAGATTGTTGCAGAGAGTTGGACCCAATGTGACAGGCACCAGCCAACTTTGAGGCACAAGGATCACACTTACGTGTAGCAAGAACAAAGATGGCTGAAGCACAATTGTGTACAAAAATGTTCTGGTAAATTATTTCCAAGATTATTGACAAGTTACAGAAATAAAACCTTGGGTCCCCCCCCAAAGAAATGTGCATAATGTGATATTTTACTTCACCTGTGATACAATTTTAATTTCAAATTTTTCTATGGCAGGTGTAATACTTTTTAATAATGGAAGAAAATGCCATACTCGATTTTTTGCATAATCCAACATTAAAACACATCTTTCCTCTTGCTTTTTGTGCAAGCACACCCACAGATTTCACATTTCTAGGATCTGGAAGTGACTTTGAATTATCTTGACAAAATAATACGTAGAGGGGATAAGGGACCTCATCAACACAGATCTTTTCCTAAAATTGTTTGAATCTCACTCAAGGTATTTATTCAAAAGATCAATTTACATTTCACCATCTGCAAAGTCAACACAAGAATAGGACCAGCTCTGTGCATTCAACATTTTTCATGTGTTGGTCTGAGCCAAACAAAGAAGTGAACAGGGCTTTTTTGAGATTTTGACACAGCTTCTCATTTTCTATTTCATTTTATACTGCTTGATATTTTACACCAGTGTGACAGACTGAGCACAGTAAAATGGTAATGATTATCAATTATATTATCAAACATAATGCTTCTGAATTAACATGTTAGTATGCTTAATATTGACACTATTAAAACTGCTCTTATCATACAATTAATTTTGGATTTTTGCCCTGCCTGATGTGTATTATAACACTGTACACTCAGTGTTTGTACAAGTTTCACACATTGGTATGTGACGTCACAGCAATAACTGAGATGGAAAGTGGATCTGTGGCACATGTGTAACATGAGATTTATGTTGAACGTATTTGACAAAGTTCATTGACAAAGTCTTTCCATTTCCTCCAAGATCCCCTTCCCTTATTGCTTACATCCCTCACTGAGTTATATACTGTTTTGTCTTGTATCAGAAACAGGCAATATCTCTTCAGGCCTGTCAATGCAGCATCATTAATGAGTCAAACTGAACTAACATAAAGTAATGCACGGATCTGTGTTCTGTGAAGCATAAATATGGAGGGATCGCACTAAATGACAACTTTAAATCAAACTAAGCACCGTCGACATCGTATTTTGGCCGATACCGATATATCTATTTTTTTTTTCATATCAATATTATCGATATATCAAATTTTATTCATTTAAATTTTCAAAGTATTATAAGAGGCGTGAATTACACCCCTACACCATAATGGCGTGATCCAATCCACTTTAGCGACATGTTATTGCCTCCGTACTGTGTACATTGCCTACCTGGGGATGGGATACACACTGCTGTTCATAGTGACATCATCAGCACGTGGTGCTAGTCTACGTATGTTTGGTTAATAAATAAAATAAATAAATAATTCTCTGTTTCGGAGGATAAATTTTGTGATAGTTTCGAGGCAAAGTGTACGCGAATTATTGAGTGCGAGACTGAGAAAGGTGACTGAATTTATTCTTCAAATGTCGCCGCATAAGCTGCCCCGAGTATAAACTGCAGGGCCATTTTTCACTCAGCATGAGAACCAATGTAAGCCGCCGTAGCTTACTGAAAATTACGGTAATGTGACAAAGCACTTTCATGTATTTTTTATTCAAGTTCGTTTGGCGATACTTTTGATATATTTTTCAATATTGATGTTTTCAAAGTTTCGATATTTTTGATATTTCTCTAAAATCCGATATTTTTCAATACTACCAAATAACTAACATCGGCGATATTGATATCAAACCTATATCGAAAATACTGACATATCGACGGTGCTTAAATCAAACTATAAATTCAACATGTTCCCATCATTGTAAACCAGTTTAGCAGTGTCTCACAAGTTATGTGATTATTGATGACATCAAGCAGTGCCCAGTGAGCATGAACATAAACAGCATTACAGAAAACACTATTTAACATGACAAGTCAATTCACTACGTAATACACATGATGATATAACAACTTTGTTTGCCACAGAAAAACCTTAATTATCTTTTTGAAATGTGGAATAACTGACATTGCAAGCTTACATTAGTATGAGTTTATGTCATACGTGAAATGATTTTGGAGTTTGTGGTCATTTTCAAAGAAACACAAATATAAAAAAAAAAAACAACAACAAAGGTTCATAAGTGCAAATTGACAAATGATTTTTATTCTTTGTTACCAAATCTCTAAAGATTGTAGCCTAGCAGGTGATTTCTAAACGTGATATTGCTCTTGCAGTAGGTCTGCATAGTTGGATGTCGATATGACCAGACAGCTTTCCTGTGCAGAGCGCAATGAAAAAGTGCCTTCTCTTTGGGATTAGGGAGTGATGATTGTCCTTCCATTCTGACCAACTCTTTGCTGGTAGTGCAGGAATTCCAACAACATGCACAATCAAACAAAGGTCATCATTCAGGCCAAACTGTGCACAACTACACACAGTCTTAACAGATTACCCACAAAACAAAATGCCATGTAAATTAATCAATTTTTCACTGCTTCCCTGATGAATTTCAAACTTGGCAAGTCAGATGCCCTGCATATACTACATGTAAATCAACAATGGGCCTCATTTTATGTCAGTGCTCATGGTTTATTTGATGATTTCAGAGAAAAAAGTGGACAAAACAGTCAGATTCCACTAGACAGCACAATGTTATCTTTTGTACATATACGCTAACAGCAAATAAGGATTTCATACTTGTGAGGAAAACATTAACAATTTGCATATTGAATTTCCTGGAACTGTTACCAATGCACTATATGCAGATGTAACTTCTGCTTAACAAAAGACAAGTGAATGGCAAAAAAGGATTCATACATGACTGCCTCACCAATCTGGTTAACCACTTGCTGCCGGGTGGTTTGAAAAATGTAGTGCACATTATCAGGACTTTTTCAAGATTTTCATTTTTCAAAATTCTTCAAAAATTCGTCATTTCAATTAATGGACATTTACACCCACATGAATTACTGTCTGGAGGCCACTCTAGTCTGACAGACAAATCTTTTGATGCTGGAGTATTTCAGCCAGGCCTGCCACCTTGTAAAAAGAGCCCAGATTGTGCGGTGTTATGCAACTTTCTTTAGTTCACGAACCTAGCACAGTGCACTGCTGACCTCTTTTCAATAGGGGCCAGATTAGCGTGCAGTGGTGCTGTGTGGCTCACTGGTGCGTTGGTGAAGTGCTTTTGTCCCCGTGGTAATCCGCTCGCACAAAATGCCCAAAACCGTGGTATACTGTTTCAAAACAAGGTTGTATTTTCTCCACTATTGAGAGTGAAAAAATGTTGGTAATGCCCAGAAGCCTGGTCTTTTGTTCTGAGAATGGTCTTTTGTTACAAGGCCCAATTTCCTTTGTACGATTTCGGAGACCTGACCACGCGTATAAACACATGGTGCCTGAAACCGGGCTCCCCGGCAGAAAGTTAGATGAATGCTTCATGTTGAAACTGTACACTGATCCATTAATTTACTGGTATGCGCCAATATCAGACAAACCACTGAGCAAAGACATGCTTTATAGTTAAGGGGAACTTGGTAAAGCTTGTATCCAGTATGCCGAGATATGCGACTTGTGACAGAGAATTTATTTTGACGTAGAATAATGGTATTGCACCACATTCAGATGATTTGCGCCCTTTCAACCAAATTCTAATTCCCATTCCACCACAAAAGCACATGGCTGGGTCTTTACAAATTTCCACACAGGGCGGAAAGAAAAGCAGTTGCTTCAATTTAAGAAATTCCCATTTACACGAAAGGCTCCTCTTTTAAAAATATTACTTTTAAAAACCAAAACTATCATTTTCTTTTTGTACAGGTTCAGTACTATGAATTCCTTGGTACTGCGGCACTTTCAACATCTGTGTTTTTAAATTTTTATTTACTTAAAAGCGTTTTGCAAATGCACAGTCAGTACTTCAGTAGTACGGCACTTTCCTCTTAAAAAGTTTATTTACACTTCTGAGTCTCTCTGATGGCTGTTTCTTGCTTCAAGAGTAGCTTTGTGGAGAGCAGACATATTTCATTCGGGACACTGGATAGGTTTACAATGTCTTAGACGTGTTGATCAAATTTGATCAGGAAAATCATTATGCTGTGCAATCTGCAGATAAACACTTGGTTACATTCAGTATACAAGCCAGTCCTTTTCTTTTGAACTCTCTGATCTCCATAGTAAAACCTCCTTCTTGAAAGTCATCACTTCCCAAAGGATGCGAGTGATGAAACTGGTCAGCTCTCCAACACTCTGTATCGGCAAACAAATGCAACAGTGCCACTCTGCACCCTCCAAAAATACCTGCAGCATTGCAGTCACTGATGTTGTATAGCACCAGCGATTCACCAGCACAGGTTTCTTACCCAAAGCTCTCGTCACTTTAAGAAGTCCACATAAGAGGGTAGGAAGAACAAAACCAGGTGATCCTAAATGTCACAACTTTAAAAGTCATCAAACTTTCCTGTTAAACACTGCAATCTCTTCTCTGGAATTTTTGCCTTACGGTTTACGATTCTCCTTGGTTTTTGCACTAGTCCATGTTTCATGTACATGTAGCTTACAACATTCCTCAGTTAAGCATCCGTGCAGAATATCCTGAACTCCCGCGTGTCTCCAGTCAAGATCAGGACACTTCTAACATGTTGCAGATGCACAATATTTCACTCTGTTTTCACATATATCACAAATGCGTTTGATCCACTGAAAATTCCTGCGGCTTACTGCTACCAGTTTTGCAATAATTCCTTGATAGTACCCACTGTTGAGGCAGTGGATTGACTCAAGAGTGGCAACAGCATACTCCAATGTTCACTGCTGTCTCCACTCTGTGCTCCTTTCTATACAAGCCTGCTGTACAAGTCAACCGGTAGGCACTTAACAAAAACAACATGCCATCGTTCCTTACTTTGTCCAACACAGAGAGCACTTTCTTCCTTTTTCGTTCATACTTAAATCCAGTCCAAGATTGCAGTCAAAATCTGTTAAGATCTCTCCACCAGGCATGGTATTTAACATACAAAACTCTTTGGGGACGTAGCCTGCCCCAGTTAATTGTTTCAAGCAAATCTCTTCTTTGTGGGAAACAAAAAAAAAATTTGCTTGAATGTAGTAAAATACAAGAAGGCGGGATTTCAATATCTCCTCAGATTACGCTTAATTACAAATAACGCAAAATTTCATATTTCCTAGTATCTTACAATATGTTATCTCAGCAGCAAATGGAAAAATGTGGGCCAAGGCCTTTAAAAATTAATTGATAAAACTCATAAAAAGTCCCAGAAGATGCGGCCAATATACAGGTGCTTAAACCACTCTTTCGCTCTTTCCCGGGCATCCTTTTGGTGGAAGTGAAGTTGTACAAATTCTTAACACGGGTCTGAATGACATCCACAGTCCAGTGAGTTACCAATCAAGTCCTCATTAGCCATGCCAACCAAAGCTGGAATTATATTTCTGCACTGACAGTCAAAATACATTTCCAGGGCCTAGAAAGAAATTCAGCAGATCTTGCACAAATTCCTGGCAGTATATTTTCCAACACTGTTCTCAGTGTCTATCAAAGGAGATGCCGAAACACATATGATCCCTATTCTGCCATCCATGTAAAATCCAACAGTTTGTTTGTTTTGTGCAAATACTTCAAAGGAGCATCCTTTCAGAAATTCTTGATCCACCTGAAGTAAAATTCTGTATCTGTACAAGGATTTCCTCTCACATGGATCCACGTATGTGTTGTTCACACTGTAAGAGTTTAAGGGAAAACAACTTTTTCCCCGAAAAATTTCCCGTGCACTGTGCTATGCTGATTTCCATAGGAATCATGGAAAGAGGAGCAAAGCTTCCACTATGGAGGTTTTTTCCCATAAGGAAGCACACAGACAAGCCATCCGGCCTACCTGACCTTGGCTTGTAGCCATGATCCAGGCAGGTTCCTACTGCGGCACCTCCTCAATGGGAGCACTCTGACTTTGCTGAATCTCCTCAAAGGTGGTCTCGAAGCAGCGTTTCAGGTCGGTGTACGACACCACTAGGATGTTCTGCTCATCACGTGACATCAGTGTCACTTTCTCTGGCACCCCAGCATCCAACTGTAGAAATGGAACAGATGCAGGTCAGATGTAGAATCAGACCCTGAAATCTTAAAAGTATTATGTGCTGGTGCAGTGCGCACTGCACATGTCCAAGGCAGCAGACAGACTAATTGACTACACAACCCTTTTTCACACAGAGAGTGTTCTTACCTTGTTCAGTGACTGCACGATATGTGCCATGTCAATCCAAGGTGTGCTATCAGATGTGACTTGGTGGAAGAGGTAATCCCTGTACAGCTTCAACAGGTAACGGTCGCCAGTCTCTGACCAAGTGGGATCACCATTAAACCTACATCAAGAAAACATTGGAAGTAATTAATTAGTATAATGAAAAAAATTATTAAAACATACTGATACATCAAAATATTCAAGGCTATCACTCTAAACTGCATTTCTGTTATCAGCAATTATTAAGCAATTTCCCTGTGCTTACCAAAGCAGCAACTGCCTCAGTAAGTATCCAAGTGATTTAGCTGGTAACCCATTCCCCTGGAAACCACATTTAGCTTCTAACACACTTTAACCAGTAACACCTTTAGTTGGTAACCCACTTTAGCTGCTATTAAACCATTTTTTGCTAAGAGAGACTCATCTATCCTCAGCAGGGCTACGTTGTTTAACAGTTCCATATGACTGGCCTTAGCTCACTTACTCGGGCCTCTCATTCATGACCCCCAGCTTGCACAGAAGGCGGAAGTGTCGCCCATTGACCACCTCCTTGGCAACCTCTTCCTCCAGCACATCCCCTCGCATCTGTGCAGCGTCCAACTGGGTGTAGAACCTGGCCCCAATCATGGGCATGATGTCATTGACGGACCGAGGCCTGGGCTGAGTAGTCAAAAGATACCTACACAAGATGCCAATTTGCAAAGTTTAGGATGTCAGAAAATTGGAACAATCTATCACATATTTGCCACAGTTCATTAGAAATTCAAGCCTGTAAGGACACTCTGCTCAAGATGACCTCGAAAAAATCAAAATTTCAAGAACTTTATCGTCAATTCTTGGAACACAAAATTACAGGAGATAAATCATCCTGAAGTATCATCCATGAATCATCCATGAAAGTATTTCTTCCTACAAAAATTAAACTTTTCCATTTACTTTACAATTTTGTTACCATTTGGGAAGGAGAGGGTGGGGTTAGGGTAGGATGGGACAGTTTGGGAAGGGTTGCCTAAATCTGTACAGGAAGCCTCCATTGTGAAATGCCGAGGCTGCTCCGAGACTTACAGGATGAGATTCTTGAGATCGCTGGAGAAGTTGTGAGCGACCAGATCCAAGGAAGCTGGTATGTGCTGTCTCTGGATGCTCTGCACTGAGTTACAGGCCAACACTAGCACCACCTTACCAAGAGATACTAGGTCCTCTTGCTGTAATGTCAACAAATAATCACATCATTCAATCTTTCAAACAATTTCAAACTCACTGTTGTTTTGCAATATTTAGAATACTTCCGGTATTTCAAGGACACCATAAAACCAATGATCTGCTACAACAGAGGATAAAGTTTTTAAAAAATGGTCCAGCAGTATACAAGATGATTGTTTCAACAATGCAGAGAATAAGACCCTGACTACCTGGTAGTGAGATATCATAGCCAAAGGGTTGTTGCCACCATCAAAGGTCAAGACGTCAAAGATGCCGACGCAGTTGACACGTAATCTGGATTTGCCAGTGACCAAAATCTTAGTGGGGTCCATCACACGGCAGGCCAAGCCAGCAGCATGGATGGTACGCAGGGCCGAGGACAGCTGGACGATGTACGTCCAGATCAGACTCTCTGGCAGGAGACCAGTGCGTTGCTGGGGACCATTCATACCTGGCAGAGGTCACAGGTCACGAGTGTCAAGAACTACCTCATTTTGTTTATGTCGATCAGGTTTTTTTGGATGATGATTAAAGAAAACTGACTGAACTAATCAAGTTCTTGTAATGTTCAAAGCTAGGAAGTTTTAAATCCAAACCAACCTGTATGGTGTGGGCCCTGATGGTCCATGAAGCCACCCTTGGGGTGCTGCCCCTTACCAAAGGCATTCCCTCCCCCACTAAAGCCATTACTGGCATGAGCTCCTGGGCCTGTGAAGTGTCTGTTCATCAGTGTCAAGGCAGTGGGGTGAAAATCATGGACAAACACCGTGGCTAGGAGGAAATAATGCAGAGGATTTATTAAAAAAAATGCGACACAACTTGGCCTACGTCGGACAGTCTTTTCTAGAATTAGATGGGATCTTACAAAGTCATTACTGTTTGGGTTATACTTCAACTTCTTAGCTGTGAGACATACATTCTCAATGTGGTAATTCATCAGTATAACACATGCAACTTGGACTGTAACTCCTGGAATATTTTCGCAAGGTTGTATCCTCTGAAACTCAACAAATTTCAGTTCCAGGTTTTCTTGAACTTTCAACAATCTTAGAAATCAAACCCTAAGCAAAGTAATGGTTCCTGGCTCTACAACACTAAATCTTTCAAACCTATAGATGTATGCAACCCAAGAATGGCATTTTGGAGGTTTAAAGGCTGTCAAGGTTACAAACAACATCAAAAACCACTGAACTTGTTCATCCCGAAAAAAAATGTCTTGGCATTCAAATCCAGACTCTAGCCAGTTGTCAAATGGATAGTTTCAATCTTATACAATAAGTTCATTGTAACAAGCAGTACATGTACTTCACTGTCCACTTTAATCAAGTTCTGCTAAGGTCCAAGTCTTACAATGTTCTCCAAAGGCTTTAGTGCTGAAGACTTCACGCAGAGTGACGATGTTGGAATGCTGCAGTTTCTTCCACTTGTCAACAAGGACCATCCATTGTGTGTTGGTCATTCTGAAACCTGGGCAGACCAGACAAGCAAACAGCATCAAAGCCATGCCAAAAATGACTGAAATGTACAGACTTGGAATTGCTCGGCCATAGAGCCTGAAAGTTGACCCCTGATGGCGCGCTTCCGGAACCCTTGGAAAAATCACGTGCAAAGATTTTACAATTTGAAACATTTTTTCGTTCAGTTACTTCTTTAAAAATCCAACTCAGAAAAGGGGCTTTGGAAAATATTTGCCAGTATATCAATTTATAGAAACTGAAAAATCACCTGACTTTAAAAGAGAAATATCCTCCCAAAAATTGACCCATCACTTCTGAAAATCTAAAATACATGAAGAACAGTTCAATGTGGCAGTCTCATATGCAGATGATTATTTACGGTTTGAAATTTTATGGTAGTCTGTCGGTAAAAGCCAAAATAAAACATATCAAAATATTTTACATACTTTTAAAATTTATAAGGTAATAAACAGAAAGCAACATTCTACTTAATATTTTATCTAACCTTTGCTGACAACAACTGTGTGATGTCAACTCAACGAAATCTGGAACCCATCGACTACAGGAAGGTACATCTTTACAATGTTTTACGATCTCGATTTCATGAAAGCATGGGGAGTGAAAACAATCGTGCCATGAACAAGGAGACCTAAGAACAACTTCGCCGGACGTGAAAGGTTGTTCATAAAATTAGTTTTTTACCCATCTCCAGGTGACTTGTCCTAAATATTACGTGAGGGAGATAAAGGCCAAATTCCAACATGAGTGTTTCATGGGGTGGCTTCACTTAGGAATTATTCTTCCAAAAATTATCAAACGTGATAGGACGGCCCAATATAAAATCCCCATAGGCAGACTGCACGAGGGTTACGGAAGCCTGCTTCGAGACCTTTTACTTTTAGGCTCTATTGCTTAAATAGCAAACTAAAATAAAACACAGATGAATTGCCAAGTCAAGCAAGTTATGCAGTCTAGTGGTTAAACCACTTGAGCTAGCAAGGATGATGCTAGCAGTTCAATTCCCTCATGCTAACTGTGAATTTGAGTCAAAGATATTTAAAGCATTGATTATAAAGACCGATAATGCAAGCCATTATGCATTATCTCATTCCATTTAATTTCTGCATTTGCTATTTCTTCCAGACTGCCAACTTCTGAAAATATGAAACCTAATAAAATTGTAAAAATTAAAGAGAAGTGTCAATATCTGAAAGCTGACACCAGGGGTCATGTGACTGTCTAGACTTAGAACCAAAACACCATATTTGAATTAGTCCGCAGCATGTTCCATCCCTCCCTGCTGTATGTGCGGAGCGAGGGGGTGCCAAGGTCTAGGCTCTGACTCACCGTGTATTCTCCGGAGGCAGTAGAGCTTATTGTCCTTTTTGTTGATGGCTTTGTAGCACGTGGTGGTGTAGCCAAAAGTACTTGATTTCTCCATGGGGCTCTTAGGGGGCGGTTCCAGTGGGAACAGAGTGTGATACTTGTCTACTTCCTGTGGAATGTCTGTTTTGGGAAAAGGGCAAAGACCACATGGGAATTCCTGAGTTTGCAACTTAACTGATTCTGTCAGCTAAATGTTTCTCATGCATTTTATCAGCACAGGAAACTCTGCTCAAAAGATTCTTGATCAATGCTCGATATTTTTTGCAACAACAGATCTCCTCTTAACTACCTCGGAGGTGGACCAACTAAGAGTTAGTTCCATCTTAAACTTCTCCCCAAGTTTCATGTTATGCTGACAGTCGTATCCTTATTGGGCATCCCCTCCCTTAGCCTACCTGGGTTCTCAGTTGGGTCCACCTGTGCCATAGACACTGCCTGCCTGTTGTATATATCTATCTTCAATTCCTCGCCAACGAAGAATGATGGAGCATTGGGTTTGGGCTTCATGTAAGCCACGTGGGCAGGCATGGACTGGTAGACATGGAAGTTGGGATACACCTACATGTAAACCAATCAATTACATATGCATGACTGTTACTCTCAGACACTGCAATTTTGAAAACACCCATTTTTTTATGACACTGAATAGAACACAATTTCTTCTTTTACCCTGATTTCCAAAAATACAGAACTTTGGATCATAGCAGAGCAGGGATTTTTCTATATGGCTCCAGGTAGTTGATTCCAATCTTAGATCACAGTCTAAACTTATACCTTCCTTTAATCACTGCACTTCCTGAAAACCGCCCAGCCTATTACTCACAATACCAACCGGATTTCTAACTGACTTTGGTGGTACACTGAGTAATAAGCCAGGTAGTTTCAGGTACCACCATGCCTCAAGGGTTGAATCCATTCCATATGCAAGACAATGGAATCAAAACCAGACATACACGTATTTCCCTATCAAAATTTAAGCCCTGTTGAACTCTCTGATACTATAAAATCAATGAATGTTTGATTCAAATGGTGAGAATAATGTTTTGAAAGTATGAGGTGACAGACACAATGTTGGAACATTTCATCTCTCAGCAAATTAAATTATTCATTCCACTGAATGATTGTTAATATAAAATCTGAATAAATCCTTTCCTGAAAAATCCCTCAAGTTCAGAAATACCTTCATTAATTAAAATTTTTGCAACTGACAAAGAAAGACCCAATCTCAAAAGTGTCTCATGTCTAATGTCTGTGTAGAGCCTCATTACATCACTGCTAATACGGGCGATTCACAACAATGCCCCTCCAAGAGTTTGCAATGCACTGGCCAATCACAACGTGCGAAATCTGTCCACCCTGTCCAAACACACAGTTTGTTTTGCGCCTTGTAAACTCTTGGAGGTGCACTATTGTGAATTGCCCGTATTGTATAAGTGCCATGCTTGAAGCTTCATTGTCAAATTCTTACAGTTGGAAATGCAATTTCCCTTTCTAAGGTGTGACTGTGTGTTGAGACACAAAATAATTCATTGACACATGACCAACAACTAACCAATCAGAAAACAGAGATGTATTCAGTTGTATGAACTCACTAATATTCTTATAGGAAAAAGAGACTGCTGAATGCATGGACTTCATGCAGTATCAGTCAAACTGCCATATAACCTGAAAAATGTCAAGACAATGTAACTCATTCTGTGAGAAGCAAATGAGTATCTCTAATGTCTTCTTGGCTGATCAGCTTTAACATCTTATTACTATTATACAGATTTTCTGGAAATGACACCAGATATTCCTCAAAAGCGCCCAGGGCACCGTAACTCTAAGGCTGAAGACATCCAAATAGAGAGGAGCCAATTGGAAGTAGTTACAATTTTGGAGGTGGGAGGAAAACCCCAAAGGAATTTCTTGGAAAAACCCACAGAATCATGTAGGGACTGAAAACCCAATCCACATGTAGACCGCGCTGGGAACTGAACCCGGACCGCAGAGTTGGAAGGTGAGGAATGAACCACCACACCAACCCAACTCCCACAAATTTTCAACTTCATGCCACACAGGGTAACGGAATATCTGGCTGGATGGAAAAAATGTACGGAGTATGGGTTGAGGAAGATGGACTTACAGCTCTTGGCATGGCAGGATGGACCTGGTCCTCTGTGTAGAAGTATGTGGTGCCACCAATGTTCTCCTGCACCATGGCACCGGGGAAGTTAGCCTGAGCTGCGCTGATGTCCAGGGGAGGGGGCTGACCTTTCCTTCTCATGGATGGAGAGTTGCCGGGGGATTGATGAGGTGAGGCACCAGCTGAAAGGGAACCTGCAAACATGGCAGGGAATGTGGGATTTTGCTCGCTGGAAAGTGAGGCTACTGGACTAGCTAAGCCATGCGATTCTTGCAGTTATTACTGCCAGAAATTTTATGGCCACTAGACCAACTGGCCAATGTGGCCTCTGGCCAAATGGGTCCACAGGCTTCATCTGCAAGTTTAATACTGAAGCTATCAGACCAACTTTGCTCAACTGCTAGTACAGCCATCCTGGCAAACAGAAGGTTGAGGCCACCTAAATGTTTACTTCAATGGCTACCCCATACAGGCCTCAAAATGGCCACCAAAAGCCTGGAGCCAGTTTGTTACAGAGCCGTGAGTATTCACCTGAGTATTTACCTGGTTAATCTATATAATGTTGAGCTGATGTGTCAAAAAATTACTTCTTTTCTGAACAGAAAATTCTATTCACCTGAATTGTAGTGGTCATTCATGCCACCAGAGCTATGGGGCACCAGTGTTGCTGAGTTGTTATTTGTCCCCCTCATCCCACTGGTATCATTCATCATTCCATTGCCCGGCTGGGCTAGGGACCTTGGCACAAATTCTGGGATCTTAGAGATAAGATCGTTGGCTTGGGTACCGCCCTGCTTGAAGTCAGCATTCCGAACATTGGGCAGGAACTCGGCTGAGTTGGTGCTTGGATTGGCATTGGCGCGAGGGGTGAACTCCTTGATGCTGCCCGTATTGCGGGCACCGGGATAAAACTGCATGCCCTGGATGTTAGAGTTCTGACATTAGGAACATCAAATGACAGCCAATCAGAAGAGGACTGAGTTAGTAAAACTCTTAAGTTCTGCAATTAGTTAACTTCTAAGTCATAACTGAGCTTCAACCTACCAAAATCTACCCATTTCTACATTCTGAAGGATTCGGGTTTGATTCAGTGTCCCAAAGAGTCTTGAAATTTCATAGCTTTTTTTCCAGTATGCCTATAAGGTTGTATGTTCCATCATACAATTTGCAACAAAGAACTCACCACATCATTGGAAGGTGATATTTTCATCCCACCAAAATTGGCTGACATCTTGGTGTCAATACTGGCACCTGAAAAAATTCAAATACAAAGGTATTAACAACTACTGAATTTGGAATTGTAAGTCCCCCCACTCCCCCCAATAATCTGCTTCTGACTTCTGTGTAACACTGCATCAAGTTACTTGACAAGAAACAACGGTGCAGGCAGCATACCAAACTATGAAGCTACCAAGTCATGCATGATCAATCTACATGCAAATTTTCAATTACATGGTTGATGGTTATGAAACCTAATCAGGCAGCTAGTTTTTGGCATTAATTAGCTCTGATGTGCTGGAGTCATTTTTCCTGAACTTTTACAATTGGGTGTATTTCTCAAACGCTGCGAAAAAATTTATCATGAAGCTACATGTATATATGAATTCTATATCAAGGGAAAGCTCTTGCTCTGCAGAGTATGCTGAATAACACAAATACTGTGGAAGTCTTAACTCTTAAATAAATTGTGTTCAACCCAATAAAGTTTAAAGTAAAAAAAACAAAGTGGTAGGACTTATCCAACAAAACTTGCAAAACTGCAATTAACAGTCAGAAAGGATCACCTTGCGGGGACATTTGGCCAAACATGGATCTCCGTCCCTCATCCTCATGGTGTCGACCTTCCTCAGAGTAGTGAGACAAGCCAGTGCCCACTGAATGAGACCTCTGCAACAGAAAAACAATGCATGTCCAAGGACACATGTATAAAAGGCTATAAAACAAAGTCACCAGAATGGTCACACATGGAAATTTCATATATGTAAGGTACACAGTTTATTTCAGACCTAAACCCACATACCTGCATGAAATGCTGGAACTTGCTTGTGGATCCTCCAAAGTTGTCATTGTCCATTTCAAATGGAGCCGTGAAGAAATGGTCAGGTGCCATGTGTGGATCGGCAACTGTGGAAACACAGCGAGGAAATGGACACCGTTTAACATAATAGCATCACAAAGGAACACTTGGTCACACTTTGATCAATGACAAAGTCCCTCCACGCTGAGATAGCTGTCGGTTCCCATGGAGTTATCTTGGTTGTTTCACACAAATACAACAAAGAGAACATGAAGAACAACATGTATGACTGAATTACATGTGCATTGCTTCGTACAATGGCTGGAATGAACAATGTGGATTCGAAATTAAACTGTGGTCTTAAACCTCAATACATGTGGGTAGGTGTCGTTTGCTTGACCAATGTACAATGTAACTGCTGGCAACAAGAGAAATGCATTTTAGTTACATAAAATGCTCAAATCTGGATTGCATTAGTTTAATAACTGTTCATGACAATTACAGCCCAACAGCAATTACAGTCAATGCAAATGGATGGCTACACTCTACGTACTTTACAATAAATAGGTCAAATACATTTATGGTATGTACATTTTACCTGCAGCCCAACATGTGCATATATACATAAGCCAATTATAGAAAATTGAAAATTTTGATCTCCTATGCGGCTAGCTAGGCTTAACTGCACTAATCGCAAAGGTGATATCGTTGTCTGGGCTAGGAGTGATATGAACTAATCCCATTAGGCCAAAATAAAATTCAGGGATGGCTTGGCCATATACATGTACGTGTACATGTACCCAGACTACATGTACTACTGGGGAAGAACAGTTGCAACTTGCATGTTATAACAAATTTAAGTAAACTGTGTTGTAAACACATAACACACAAGATTAGTAGATGAATGTACATGGTGTACATGTATTTTTTTTTACATGTACACCTACATTGTACAATATCATCCGAATCCAACACATATGCCTGTACATGTACTCTACATGTAGGTACCCTGTCCAAATGAGTGTCTTCTGCATACAAACATGAAATGTACACGCAATCTGCTATAATCCATCACTATGCACTAGACTGATTTCATATTCTTTGTGCTCAATATTAGAGCATTGATTGGAGCCGTACTTCAAAACCTCAGACTAGATTTTTGATCAACTGAGTCAGGGCAGCTTTTTAATGAGTCGCCATGTACATGTACATGTTGTGTGTTCTGATTTTAACAAAATTAATCTCACAGAAGGTATACTGCACAGTACATTTGTGATGCCCCAAACTTTATTTGGTTTGCTATCAATGTACACATACTCATAACTGTACTTAACTTGAAATGATCCTTTACAAGTCTGCAGATAACATAAAGATTCTGGGGCAAGCACCAACATATACATGTGAATATACTGAATACAGTAAAATTACAATCCCACAGACACACACTGTTGATCAGTCTTGCACTACATGTACATGTACGATACATGTATGTGACAACCCAGTTAAAAGGTCAGTGATACAGTAGCTGACTTTCTTTGCTTCTTTCTATTCCAGCTGCGTGCTACGGGTTTCACAGATAGAGATTGGGAAAACTGCCCTGATAGAGAAATTTAGCCTCAGGGGCTGTTAATATCATGTTAGTGCAGTATGGTCAGAGAAACAAACTGATGGTTAGTGCCATGCAGGGAGGATACTGCCCTTTGACACTAGGTACATGTATGTAATGCATACTGCATGGCAGTATCATGGCACTATGTCAATAGAGTTACAGTCTGTGTCATGTCCTCACTGTCAGTTTCTTGACAGTTGTAGGGTACTAATGTAATGTCCACTAGATGCTTGTACTGTACATACATGTATGTGTATGCCAAATCTATGTGCCAGATGTTAAAAAGTGTCGAGTTCAAGACATTGATTCAAAACTTTTGAAAATTTGTATAAGAAAAAATAGATTGAAAACTTGGCTCCTATGTGGATCCAAGGACAAATTGCATTCAAATAGATCTTTTTTTGATACAGCAATGCTTGGTGCAACAAATCAAGTCACATGAAAATGTACAACAAAGTGGTCTATCAGGGGAAAATGAGGTTTCCTGAAGAATTATGGCACATATTGGATCATGAATCCAATAACTACTGTACATGTACATCCATATTCAGCAGATGAGGACCGATCCTCTGATAACTGCTCAGATTAACTTGATCAACCAAAATATTTGCATACTGATTGGATTGTTGGCTATATTATATCTGTATGCACATTTGTTTTTTTACACATTGGGATAAAAGCGTCGTTTTGCCCTGTGCATGCAAATGTCTTTTTTACAACAACTCCTCCAGGGTTGGTTGGCCAGTATCACAGATCTACACGGTTTGGCCACTCTGAAATCTCAAGTGCACAGTCTACATACATGTACGTACATGGGGGGGTCACAGATACAAAGAAAGATACATGACAGTGGCATGTTTTATTTATCTTGGAAGACATGAAGGAATACATGTGCGTGTACTTGCATTCATGAAACCTTTCAAGAGTCAAGACTTACCATACAGTATACCGTATACCAGGTACATGTACAAATATAGGTTGGGTAAGCAGAGTACATATATTTGTAAACTCAACAGGAAGATGATACACGCGAAAAAAGAACAACACTGGATTTATTTTATAAAAATAAATTCAAGAACTTGCACAAAAGCAATTATATCAGTTTAGAAAAAACATACAATTGGGTCAAGTAGTAATGCCATACAAGTTTTCAAATTCATCCAGAAAAGATTCTCTAAATTTCTCTGATTCTTGCAAAGTGCATGGATATTTCCATAGAGCCTGATTTTCCAACCAAAATGAGCAAACCAATTTCTATGGTACCAGTAGTCACAACTGGTTAATTTTCAAATCAAATCAAATGTACATGTATGTACTGGTACTCTACAAGTCTCTAGGAAAACAGAGGTTACACACTAAATAAATTGGCCATAAAACACTTGTATATAATGTGGAAGCTTCAGAATAAAAGTATAAAATATTACATGCAATGTATGGTCTCGTTAATACACCATGCGTCAAAACTAGACCCTTCAAGATTTTTTACCAGAAACATGTTTAAATGACAATGGCTGGTGAAGCAATGCTGGGGTTTTCCTCATGCTCAAGTTGTGAAATAGGAATAAGGAGGGGGTGCATGTACCATACAATTAAGCTGCCAAGACATTCAGCATGAATGCAGCAATGGCCATTAGATTACATGTACAGTATCAGTACATGTATGAATACACAGGGTTCCAACTGGCAAATTTTAAATCAGTGCCAAGGTTTCACCTAAATGTTGCAGCCACGTACATTGTACATGTACATGTACCTTCTTTGTACTTAATACTTGTAAGTATTTTCCCCGTCCATTGCTTACTCATAGGATTACAGCCAAAATTTGTAAGTGATCACCATTGGGCCGCAAAGCAAGGCAACCGAACGTTGGAGCCCTGATACATGTGTATAGGTTACAAATGGACCAACAACCATGTACATACATGTAATTTGTAAACGTTAAACTGACATCTATTTATGACACAGGGAACAGGACATTTGTACACCATCAACAGAGCTGCACTTTATCTTCTTTTACAGACTAACCCATAGTCTGGTCCAAACCCAAACTTTGGACCTAACGCTGTATTTAACAACTTTAAAGCATGTTGTATACACGCGTGTTTTTGAAGACAGACAATATTCCCTGATCATGACAATTTATATGTGTGTGGTGTGTGTGAACATGCCTGTTTACATACTGTCTGTGAGCAGTATATTGTAGAGATATACTGACACCAATACACTGAACAAAGTACTGTACATGTACACATGTATGTAAGCACGGCACCAATAGTTCTTCCTACAACCTGTGGCTATTATGCCATTGTCACTAAGATCAATCAACATGTATACTTGGACGGTGAAATAGTGTGAATTTAAAGAACAAGACATTCCTAATTCAGAAAATGGACTGTACTTAATATTACTCACCATAGTTCCCTTTTTTACAATGGAAAATTCAACATTTACCAAATGCTGTACAATCTCAGTCTCCTTCAAAAATGTATTTTCCAGGGTGCTACATTCAAACGGCACAGACAAACATGAACTTGAAATCCGAGAACAGGAAACAATGTAAGGAACAAACATTGTACATGTACGGTACAACCATGAATGTGCATGTACATGAAGGTCAGGTGCATGGGACACTGAAATCTGTTGTACATGTAAAACATCAAGCCCATTATTACTCCAAGTTACATGTACGAAAACATGCTGGTACTGCAAGAATGTACAGATGTGAGTTTCATTAACTTGAGCTCCTATCATCAAGCATTTATATGTACAGTAGGTACAGGTACAGGTACATGTACAGTACGTGTACACCGCTACTTGATTTATGTACCAAATGCTAACCATGATTGTGCTGAAGTAAATTTTAAAAATGCATATGTACATGTATACAAGTGCATACATATATACACTAACAGGCTGTGTGCAGACATGTGGTACATATACATGTATGTTCTACAGAACAAGTAGGCATCATAGCAGTAACACACAAACATGAACGAGACTTACCAACATACTGTCGTAGCACATGCAAATCCATGGTTGTAAACTGGACAAAATGTCTGTGTACGATTGCTGCAGACCCACAATTTATGATAAACTCACGCACAGCACATACAGTACATGTACATATGGCATGTACATTTGGTAAAACGGGATGCGTGTGGGCTTACATGGAATGCAGCATCACATGTACGTACATGTACATCTCTTCACAAGGCATGCATGGTGATCTTCTGTTGCACCTGCATGATCACGCCTGCACACTAAACAGGACTGGGGTAATTGGCCAAAGACGTATTACTAGCAATCCTTCAGCTTGTGTCAAGAAGTCTATTCTTCAGTGAGTCATTCAGTGAGTAAGAACGTGAGCACAGACAGTGAGCACTGTGATGTGTAAGAGGCACGTAATGCACTGCCACTGCACATGTAAGGCCAGCATACATGTACAGCATGCATCATGCATGGTGCTATATATCATTATGGACTTCATACTTTGTTAGATGGCACGTTTATGGTTAAAGGTGATGTTCGGGAACAACTCTTCAATTGAAAAGCTACATGACAAAATATCCCTGCCACCGGTACAAAAAGAAATAAGCAATCTTGTAAAACTAAAACGAAAGGGTGAAATTTATGCAGTTGCTACAGAAACCAAGGGCATCAATTAGGATAAAAACTTGTCACAACTGTCAAATCAACAACACATACATGTAGTTATAATGACATTCTTTCAAGCACACGTTTCCTTCATCAACTTAGTTTTGCTTATTGTTCAAGGCCGTAGACAGAATGCCTACAAGCTTTTGCGATGGAAACAAGAAGTCTGGTGGAATTATTATGTTATTCAATATCTTATGTAATCAAATTTGCAGTGGCCTTTTTCGAGCAGTGAAAATTCATGGATTTTCTCTATTCAAGTACAAAAAATCTAAACATTCTTGCACCTGAGGTTTTACAAGAATGTGAAACCCATAAAAGTGAAGCCAGTGCTGAACTCTAGGTCACCCTGATGGTCAATAACTTGCAAAAGTTTCTCAAAGCCAGATTTAAGAACTTAAATCCGGTTCACGCAGTGATTTATTCTGTCACAGCAATTCATATCTAACCGAAAGTCAAGTTGATATTCAAATAGTTTAGTTAATAGGTTTAACTTTAACGGTGTCAATAAAAACCAGTTAATGATAGACGAAGGATTGGTACTGGCTTCTGTGAACAAAATGATTGAACATCACTTTTTAAAAAAAATTTGAACTTTTGGCTTTAACATGTATGTCATAACTAACAATCTTAACAAACATATGTGGGGTATATCTTCAGAAATACCCTTACAAGAGATATTTTTATCACTTTATGTTGCAATGGATGTTGCCAACATGCTATGTGGTATCCCAAGTGAGACTACAGCATTTACATGTATCGAACACAGGCTACAGTTCTTCACCATGACCTGTTTTGATCAACATTCAAAGCTGTAGTCATAGGAGACAGGACCGGAACATGGCCCCCCCTTCCGTCATGTGCCACAGCATGAAATCCCATGTGTTAACTGAATTGATACACCTGCAGAGCTGGGGGAACCATAGACTGAGCAATCTGTTCCTTGCTCTATAGGTGATCATACATGTAGGTACCAGATGTCAAACGTATTACAGTTACCCTGCAACATGTATGGGGCCATACTAACTACACACTACCGTTTTTGTGGTCGCCAAACATGTAACCTCAAATATTTCTGGCTGAATGAAGGCACTCATTCTATTCACAGCTATGTCAACAACTTCTGTATACTGGAGATGTCACAGATCAGTGGTTTTACACTAATGCTCACTCCCAGGAAAAAAAAGAGAGAGAACACAGTTTTGGATGCACAGACCCTCAGAGGTCCCTTCATTCACAATGACAAAGGCAACCCAGGTGACAATGATAATGTTCTAGTGTAGAGGTTTGGGAAAACCAGGGGAAAGGAGATGGAGTTGGGAGGACAGTTGCTGGCAGTAAAGAGATAGAGTAAGATCTTTTTTCTGTACCAGCATCTCTCCCCACCCCTCCCCTCAGCTTTCCCATGCACTCACAGATGGCCCAAATGTTGTCACATCAAACCTTCGCTGTAAATCAAATCTGGATTGAATTCTCCAAGATTATACAAATGGTGACTTTTCCAGATACACGTAAAATGTGACATTATCATACCCCATAGCCTTCATGTTGACATACTTTCATTGTCCATTGTAAGTCGATGCCTCCCGGCTTTAGTGCTGAACACTGTGAGTACCCTCCATTGATGAACATGCAAACCCACATCTAACAAGCAATCCATATTTGTGATGACACATACCCCACATGTAATACCTGAATTATGACACACCATGACTTTTCCCCTCAATCTCTCCAAAGCTCAATCTGTGTAACAATACTGGTCTTACTTAAGGGCAGGATTCTGTACAGCCCACAAGGATTTGGGACACTATAACTGGGCAGTAACAGGGAATATTTGTAGATATCTCATCACAGAGAGCTGCTAATTTATAGCCCCAATATGTAACAGCCGCAGAATTTACACTTTTTAAAACCACAAAGGACAGGCAAGGAAAAAGTACCAGTTGTGTTTAATGAGAGGTTCTTCATGAAAAACCAAAAACGCCTGAAAAAATTGTCTCACAATTAAAAAAAAAGAAATGGTACGGTGTTATCTATATGAAATCATGTACATGTATCTTGGCATGCACGAATATGGAATTTTTGCAATTTGAACAGCAGTCTAGATTATAATTTTGTAAAGGTTATTGCATTCTATCCCTTGACATTTGGACAGGAAGGGAGACAGTGTAGTCTGAGTGGATTGCTTTGAAATTCCCACATAACTACTGTTCATGCCACACTTGCATTTAAATTTGAGAGTTACATGTACAATGTATAAGTACAGTATGTGCAAATGCTGTTTCATCAAGTTGGATACAAACAAATTTATTAGTAGGCATCAATAATAGTTGGAATCCTTCACAATTACATGTACTGCAATGAATTTTCTGACATTACAGAGAGTACCATCTACCAGTACCTGGATTCTGAAAAAGAGACCTCCTTCAATGTATGTATGCAGAAAATGTATACATAAACTGGCTGTCATTTTTGTGCATGAACTCCACTTTCAGGAAACTTACTGATAAGACATCTTTAAAAAGTACCACCAATCTTCTTTTTACACATACATTTATGTATCAGGCACATTTGACCTTTCAAAGATTAACAAACTTGATATTTGGGGCTACACTGAGGACTCCCATGGGCCACCTCAGGCATTTGATCTTTAAGATTCACATGTACTACATGTGCATAATGTACCACCTACAGTGCACAGGTCAGCTTCACTGAACATGCTGCATCTCCATAAACACGTAAATGCCTTCTTCTTCTTGTGTATGACAATACTCTAACTCTGTGCTGATGAGGATAGCAACTGGACAGGCTCTTACTGATTCAAATAATATTCATCTAATGCCAAAGGTGAAGAAAAGCATGTACTACCGAAACTCAATGGAATTTATACTCTGTAAAACACATTTTTACCAGAATGTGTGATTAAGGCCCACAATATTAAAAGTATTTTTTAAATTAATTATTCATTATTCCTTTTTTAATCATAAATGTTCTTTCATCCACTTATTTTCATGCAAGGTTTAACAAAATAGAAAGCTAGCATGTTGTCTTGAAGAATATTTTTTCACTCATCCCCATTGTTCGTGTAGGTTCAGCTACAACCTTTCTGATGAGATTTGAAGCTTTTCACGATGAAGGTACATGCAGCGAGTACATGTAAACTAGAGAGATTTGCAGCACCGTAGCATCATGGATCTCTTTTGTGAGTATGTAGGGTTCTGAAAAGAACCAGTGGTACTCAACTTTTCAGACTGTATGCTCTGTCCGTGTTTCATTAGAAAGGCTGGTGCACCAAATCCCATTCTTGCAGTCCGATATCCAGGAGCTCTGCCACATTTCTGTATCCACACCGAGCAGAAACCAAGAGAGGTCAAGCTTTAACATGTGCATACATACATGTACATACAGCAAGGACGGACCTTCAGTGGGAACCCATCACATGCAAACACACATCTGTGTGGGTAGGTTTCCGGGAAATACTCGGCAGATATGGTACCTCCACAGCATGTCCTTCCATCACCCCGAGATCAAGTCGTAAGTCAACTGAGCCCTTGTATGCAGAGCACACAATGTGTGCAAATGGAACACCTCACCCAAGAACTCCATCACATCTCCACGGCACTACAGCGGAATGGACTCAAGACCCAAGATCCACCCCCGGCCAAAGGGTCTCCTACATGTACACTGTATACCCAAAGCCAACTGGTTAAGGCCCCTAGTTCCATTACCCTCCCCTACCTATATACATGTAAGTAGTACCTCCCATCACATCCAGTGCATCCTCCATAAGAATGGCATTTGAGTGTTCCATACAACCCCCTGAGAACCTGCCGACTTCCCACAAGGACCAGCACAACCCACTGCACAAGCCTGGAGTGTACAAGATCCCCTCCCAATGTGGCAAAGTGTACATCGTTGAGACCAACAGGGACCTCCCTACCAGACTCAATGAACACAAAGCCCATGGCAGGAAAGGGGAATATAGCAAGTTTGCCATCATCAAGCACTCCCACATCGAAGACCACAAGGTCGACTGGAGCAACACCAAACTCCTCACCAGCATCAGGCACTGGCATCCACAACGCATCAGAGAAGCCATCAAAATCATAAAGAACAACACAGTACACAGTGCTACCACAAACCTACATGTATCTAGTTTACTACAACCTTTCATTGTACATGTATTTTTGCTCGGGAATGTTTGAGACTTTGGTTAAAAGTTTTTGGCTATTCTTTTGAGCCTTCTGAATCTGAAAGGAAGCTGTATTTCAAGAAGAATTTTTGATAAATTGCATATAAAAATGTAACCGAATAATTGATATCAAGTAAGCAACAAATACTTGCGAGCCAAGTATGATGCAAGCACCGGTATGTTGGCAAAATTATAAGACGACTCATATCCCTGAAGGACTAAATAGTTGTCCGGTACAGTTTGACACGCTAGAATTTGAACATACTGTACTATGATGTATGATGATCACTGATGATCAAATAACATGGAGCCCAGTACATATAATGTACATATATATACGTACACATTACACAGACATGATGCAGTAACAATGATGCCACATTTTCATAATGTATAACTTTGATGCTGGTTGGTCATTCTAAATACTTTGAAAAAAAAATCAATTGTATACATGGGTAGTGAGTTGGTCAGTGTGAGTAAGCCAATGATTCTACAAGCTGTGTTGGACATGTACATGTACATAGTATGTATTGCTTTTACTGCAGCATTGCTCTATCAAGCATTACTGCACTGATTTTAGTTATGTTTAACAAGTATAGTATGTACATGTATTTCATCTCTTTCTTTAACCCTAACAGCCAAGCATATCGTATGGCTTACAGGACTACCAAAATACTGTACGTACATGTAGTAGTCTGAGCCTGAAGGACCTAGCCCTACAAATTATTACTTCTGGCTAGGCTACTTTCATTGTTACTCATACAAAGAACAATAAAGTCATGCATTTATAGTGCCACAGCACTGTATGGTGCATGTACACTGTCTTATAAAAAATCTACAATATTTTATGGCTTCAGCGGACAATAAGGTCATGTCCTCTTACAAATGATAGTGCTGTATACTAGATTTTACTACTACATGTACATGTAAGTAACTACCATGCTTCTCAAGTTTTTAAAATTACATGACCTAAAAATTGCCCAAGCTGAATGCAATCATCTTTTTAATGAAAACACAAAATGAATTGGAATTTGCTATGTTTGCTAGCAAAAGTATGTGGGGAAAGGATATGAAGTCTTGAAATTCTGTTTCTAAGTTCATTGTGTAATAGAGACCTGTAACCAGGTCCGGCAAAAACACATAACAGCAAATCTATAACTTTCTAATAACTAACCAAATTAAAGACTCGGATTTGTCACTTTGTAGTACCACACCGAAAATGGGAAAACACAACCATAATATGTGACTTAAACGCCACTACTCTAGAGGTCCCTCAGTCACAACATGGTCAAAATATCTCGCATTAAAAGGCTGGTGCACCAAATCCCATTCTTGCAGTCCGATATCCAGGAGCTCTGCCACATTTCTGTATCCACACCGAGCAGAAACCAAGAGAGGTCATGCTTTTACATACATGAACATGTACGTGTAGCAAGGATGGTCCTTTAGTGGGAACCCATCACATGCGAACACACGCATACTTGTACGATACATACCTAGTTTAGACATTCTTTTGTTTTCATGCAGTTCAGGAAATTTGGTGAAAATGCTCACTTTTCTTGAACTTGGAACAAGACTTCAGCTGGAGTTGTGTGAAATATGTCATAGACTGTTCTTCGTCCTTTTACAAGATGACCCTAAGCCTAAAATGCCTCCAACCTTTTTTTTCAGAGAAGGGGCAACATCCTGTTAACGTAAGTCCACAGAACGTCTTCCCTTCCTGCATCGTGTGGACATCTTTCGTTCGCAAGTCCACACTAGGTACATGTACATACAGTACGTAAGGTTAGCGCACGCATTTGATTGTTTGGTGCTGGATGCAATGAACATACGTGACTTTTTCATGTGTGAATGTGTGGTCTTCGAGCATGAGTGGGATGCGTGCATAAGTCTTCCTTGAAAACTTCCGACCACCCTGTCTCTTCTTTGCTGGTGAGCAGGTGAGGGTGCACTTAAATTTATGGTGGATGACATGCAAAATAACAGTGCAGTGCAATGGGGCATTTGCCACCATATAGCAGACTCAGTCCAACATGACATTATGCTGACCACATGAATTTAGCAAATTACGTTTCCTTGAGCATGTTGAGTCTGATAACCAGATCCCTTTAGGAAAGAGTTTCATACAAAGAAATCACTTGACACCTTGCACAAACACTACATGTAGTATAAGATTGGTCCAAAAAATTCTAGGTGTTAATCACACTGCTGAATTGGACTTTTTAGGACCTCCTCTTTCAATCATGCCTTTTGTTCAGGCCTTTAGGTTTACTACTTTTTATACTAGGCTATGCCATGCCCACGGGGTCATGTCCTTCCCATAATCATGTTCATGTCCAATCTTTCAACTTTTAGTCTGAATTTATTATTCACTTTTTCTTTTTCAACATGTCTACTCTAAAGGTGAACATGAGGAAGCAATTTTCCAACACAGAATGAATTAAGAAATATTGATTGTTTCAAGACTTACGGTCCATGGCTGCAAGGTCTTGACTGATGTGCCCCCCACCGAATGAGTTGTTGTCTGCAGTGGGCGACCGACCGTAGGGCGAATTGGGGTCAGCGTGCATAAACTGACATTCATTCCCGTAAAAACAAGTCTTTTTGGCCGCCCAGTAACGACACAACGCAGGCTTTTTGGTCCCTGTGGAGCCACTATTCATTGTTACTGGTATCTAAACCACCGCTGCCAAATGAATGATTCGTGTAAATTCAAATAAACTCGGTGAAATACCGACCAACCGGACTCCATATGCAAGCTACGGACTGCTACCTTTCGGGATCCATGTTTTTATTTTGATCGTATCGATAATCTGTCAATCATCAATGCTAATTTTTTTCTCTATAGAAATTTTTGGTTAAACATTCACTTATTGAATGAATAAGTTTATTCAATTAATGAAAAAATGCTTCACCGTTTTCTTTTAAAATATAGTTTTAGTTGTACTTTATTTATTTTTGTCACATTTCTTTATGGTTTTTATTTTTTTAATATAAATGCGTGCTTGTTGCCGAAAGATTGTGAACAACAATACCCATGATGCATTGCGGGGCGGGCCATTAAAACTGGTGTCAAACATACACAGCATAAACCGTGGCATAAACAGGAATGACGGGGCCGGGGAAAGAAATTTTTACTGGGCCTCATGTTCGTTTTGTCAACAGTGTCATGTCTGTTAGTGTTACTGAGTTTTGATCTCCGTGCCCCCGAAAACAAGACAGACAGTGCATCTTGGAATGGCCTCGGACGAAGAAAGTGATCTAGAAGAATTGCTTGGGCGTGTTTCTAAGAAGCTTGGCTGGCAAAACATTCAACATGTTCAAGAAAAAGATGTGAAACTGAAAACAAGATTCCGCAAGGTGAACATGTTTATTGTTGGGTCAAGCATGGAGGAAGGTTTTGTGCACACCTGCACAATAGTAATGCTGACTAGGCCTACTGTATGGTGGCAGTCTGACAGCAGGAGACGATGGGCCCAGCCTGTTTGTTTCACATGGATCCAGATCACGATCATCTGATCATTGACATGATTGATCTGTTGTGGTTCACTGGCAGTGACACCAGGGGCTAATTTCAATCATACTTAGTGCTGCTTAAGCGAAAAATTTGTTTAAGCGCGAAAAAACCTTGCTTGACAAATCAGGTAACCAGCCAAAACTTCTGGTAATGTGTATTGTTTGGAATGGTATTTTGGCCTAGGCTAGTACTTGTCATTTGGTTAGCATGACAATCACATAGAGTTTGAGCTGGTAACCTTTGTTTATTAAGCAAGGTTTTTTCATGCTTAAGCAAATTTTGTGCTTAAGCAGTTCCATGAAATTGGCCCCAGTTGAACATGCAGCACCCTCATGATGATGGATACGCAATCCAGCCCTGGGATCACTAATTGCGATCCAGATCCATATGAAACAAACAGGCCCTTTGAGACATAGGCACTAGTAGCAGCAGATGTACCGGTCCATTTTCACAGTATTGTTTGTGCTCAGACATGTCAGAACAACGCGTGCATGATCAGAATTGATAAATAAAAGGACCTGTATATGGGGCATTGTGAACATCCAGGAGTTTCACAAAATTGCGGGTAACAACCACACTGCGCTAATGAAAACAACTTCAACGAGTGTGCACGTACGTAGGCCTACTGTTCAAAGAAAAGATGTTTAACCTGATCCTCGGACTGGCTGGTGTGTGCGTACATCACGATCACCATGGTCACTGTTTTCACGGGCATAGTACCTGCCATTTTGCGAGAATTTGCGAGAGATGTCCGCGCTGTCCCATAGGCCTACCCCCGAACTGTGGGGTTCATCAGAAGCTCAGTGGACGATGAACTCCACAGTTCTGGAGGTAGGACCAGCATGCTTACCGCCAGCACCAAGTGCCTCAAAGTCTCTCATATCCTAATGTTGCATTAGGCCTGCTTTCAGTAGTCATCATGGTCGTAGAGCAGAGTTTCCTGGCATGGCCCACTTTGACAATATGTTTGATGTTTTCCCTGACTTTCCTCATGCAGTGTTGCCAGACATCTAGAATTTGGTATTACTGGTATTATTTACCTTCATAATGTACATGTGCGTTGTTTCAATTTCAGTGTCAAGAAATTCAATCTGAAATTTAAAAAGGGTGCCACCTGGAAATAGGGCACAAATTCAGCTGAATATTCCCTAATGTGGCACACATCACAGACTTGAACAAATCTCTAAAGATGCTACACCAACATTTAAGAGGTTCTTCAAAGTTACGCCCACTCACACACCCAAATGCAAGTTTGTAAGAAACTCATCTTTTCACAATGGGGGCATTTTGAAAGAGTTCATTTTGCACTGCAAAACAAAAAAAGCTTGAAAAATCAGGCCAAAATAAAATTTCCTCGGAAATTTGTAGTGGGTACTTCAAGATTTATTAATGGGAATTTTTAGAGCTTGATAAAATTTTACCTGTGAAATGTGAACAAAAAAATTAATCCCTCAAGGCGCAAGGCACTAGATGGAAAAGTTAGTGTATTTCAACAATACATGCACATGTATGTATATACACGTATATGTAACACAATGTATTATTGGCAGTTTGGTGATCTACATGTTCATTGTACATCCAGGGAAGAGTTCTATATATGTATGTACATCACTAATATTTCCCTACAATAGTATTTATTTCCTGTCTTTTTTTTTTACGGCTCTGGATTACAACATGTACAAAGTGCGAATCTGTCAGAAATATCTTTGCAGTATCAAGAAATCTTCCTGATACACAACTGAAGGATTGAGGAGATATTTTGGAGAACATGTTGCTTGAAAACATGAAAATTTAACGTCTTTCCAGTTTGGTATAAATGTTACAAGTGGCTCTGTGGGATCCAAAAAGTATGGATTGTCCATTGGATTAGAAGAGTCCATTCCACCAATCTCCAACATCTGAGCATTGTTTGATGGTCTCCAAGACCCTAATCTGTGTACATGTTACATGTATGTATGATATAGAGGCTTACATTTTTCTATTTGCATGATGAACAGATGAGCTATTAAAAGTGATTAAATTCACTTCTTTTGTTCATTGTTACTGTCTGTCCTTTTTGGGTGTAATTGTGTTAAATCTCTAAGAACTTTGCAGCCTAGAAATAATGTTTTAAGTTTCAGCGTACATGTAGCTGTAGAGGCAAACTCAGTCCTGATGCACATGTACTGTGTGGCAAGGTCCAAATGGCTTGGTAAAATGCTGTTTGGCTTTTGAAAAAATATTCAGTATTCTATTATAAGTTCGGGTTTATTTACAGGGCTAAGTGTAAAGTATAACACTGCTGAATTGTTTAGTTCAATTTTTCATTTGTTTTAATGCCTTAGTACATAACACTTATAATCCCTTTAATGATGAATGACCACCACCCCCCCAAAAAGTCACCCTTCTTAATGACAACCATTGTTATATTGCAGCCATCTGAAAATTCAGGTCACAGGAATAAGAAAAAGTCAGTCAGAAATAGCTCCAAGAAAGTACCTCGGAAATCAAAGAAGGATACCAGCTCCTCATCGGACAAGGAAAACGGTGTCAAAGGCCCTGACCATGACTACCGCTCTTCATCCAAAAGCAACCCACAAGCTAACGCCAACTGCAGGGTTCCCTCTGATTTGTTTGCCAGTCCTTGCAGTGCTCTGGCAGAAAATCCCAAGTGTGTTGAAAGGGGGAACAGTATTTACAGCACTGACATCTCAAAGGAAGGGGGAAAGATAGATTATGAAAAGGGCCTTGACTTGAATAACGGTGTGTCAGAGTCAAATGTGATAGCACAGAGTTATCTTGTTGAGCCTACAAGAAACCTACAAGGAAGTGAGGTAGCTGTGGAATTGAATGACAGGGACCCAGTAAGTGACAGTAAACATGAGGAATGCCTGCAAATATCAAGTGAGACAGTGTTGAAAGCAGATGAGAATGTGACAGATGTCTTCAATTCAGACACATTTGAAAATGCATCATCTGTGTCAAGTGATGTTGATGACTTGGCTAATGACACTTCTCATGAACCTTCATCTCCAATTCCAAAAGACAACACTGACGACCTGGACAAACCATTCTCACCATTTCAATGTTATTCAGAAACCCTCCAACCCATGAAATGGCTTTTGACCCCTCCCCCAAAAGAGAATCAGTTCAAAGCCTCATTAAAGTCAGCAGAGAAGATCAGCATGGTGGCAGTCAGCGATTCTGAATCGAATTCTTCCTGTGATCTATATGCTCTGAATTGCAGAAAGGATATAATTTCATCCCCTATGAAAGAGACGGAATTGGAGATACCAATTTCACCATCACGTTGTGACTTGGAAACCCCAAATTTTGCTCACGATTCATTCAAAGCCACACAATCTGTTGAGCAGACTATTACAGTTAACAACAGTGTCTTGGATTCACCAGACAATTCTTTTGGGCAGATAATGAGCCTAACTGAGAGACTGTCCAAAAATTTCAAGAGACAAAGAGGGCTTAGTAGGCCATCGGAGAAAGAGGGCTTGGATACTGGTTCACCAACAAAGCACAGGACCATGAATGAAGATACCAGGTACAGAAAAGAAGAATCTTGAAGTGGTAGCACAAGGTAGATGTACCCAAAAAAAAAATAATTTCAACCTCAAACATTTCAGGCACATAGAGAGATAGAGTATTAGTTTATTGTCCCCAATGGTGGGGCTGGAGGAACGCAGCAGTAACTTTTCTTGAAGAAAGCTGGTAAATCTGTCAAATAGCACAAAGTAATCTAGTTTGATCTTACTGTTACATTTCAACTAAATGTGAGCCATCAACCCCTTTTATCTGACGGTATCTTTTGGAACCCCACATTTTTTTATTTACATATTGCGAATAACTCATAAATTTTTATGTTCCATTTTCAGAATTCTGAATGAAGTCAGAGCTCCTGGATATGTTAGCAGTGAGGATGAGGATGAGGATAGAGACTTTGAACAATGTAAGGTGACTGCTGAACAGGATGAAAGAGTTACTCTTACATATTATAGATTTGATTTTTTAAAGATAACAGCTCTATATTCTGATACTAAGTTATTACTTTCTTCCCCTTTTCAATTATTCAGTTCTTCAGGCAATCAAAACCCCACACCACGAACCTCATTCTGTTCAGACACCAAACCCAAGTCGGGATGAAGAGCAGTATGAAGATTCGTTTATTGATGACACTCCAATAGAGAGCAGAGACAGTGATGAGGATGTTTATTACTACCGACACATTAATTCTGACCGGAAGATTTTCAGCAACAGAAAGGCAAGGTTTATGTGATGACGTGACGGTGCAGAATGACCATTGTGAACTGAATGTGTGATATTTGCGAAAGTTGAAGTAGAATAGCTTTTTATGTTTTTATCTAACAAGCTCTGTTAACCCCTTCACGCCAGGACGCGTTAAAACACACCGTAAAAATTGAGATCCTCAGCCCGCTTTACAGCTATTATTCTCGACCCACACTCGAGCGAACACGGTGAAAGAAGGCAGACCCTGGCTCTTGTATATATGGTGATTGGTCTTTGTGT